GTGCCGCCTCAAGATTCACTGTAGCCGCTGCCGCTGATGCTAGGTGAAGTGCCAGTGTCACCGCTGCTGCTGCTGACGTCGCTGCTGCATTCGCCGTTGCGTTCGCTACTGCCGTGGCGGCTGCCGACTGGTTCGCAAGAAGCACCTCTATTCGCTGGAGTGCCGCTCGCGTCTGGTCCAAGCCGGTGTGTAACTCTGTAATTTTTCGTATGGAATTATCACCATTTTCCTCCATTTCGCGATTTCCAGGAAGATGTGCGACGAAAATAATATTTTTTAGGCGCTCGTCTACTCACTGCGAGTGGAATCGATTGTAGAAATGACGAGCGCTGTTTCTGCTAGTCGTGTAATTCTCCCTTAGCTGAAATTCGCGTCCAATCTCGGCCGTTGAGAAGAAATTCGATCTGACGCTCCAAATTTCCCAGCTTTTTTTGGCAAAATTCTCAGGGCCGTTGAGATTCGAATCGATCTTACGATCGAAATTCCAACTTTTTCGCCACTGGGCCTGAGAAGTGTTTGAAAACCGGTTCGAGGGGGACGTTAGAAAACAGCGCGGAACTGGTTTACGCACTCGAAATCGGCGCTTTCCGTCGTCGCCCCCGCGGTTTTAAAAACTAGGTTTTAGCGGTCGAAAAACTTCGCGTGCAAATAGGCTCTGATGACCAAGTGTGAGGATCTAGGATCGAGCTCAGAAAAGTGGGTTTGAATTGAATGATCCACCTGGGTACAACATGAGGCTATATATAGGCTCGACACGAGGTAGGTAACCCAAGTGTTACGCGAATGTTCTGAGGGTCGCGAAGCGTCCCAAACAGAACCTTTCTGAACTCAGTAGAAAGCAGTTCGGTGGAAACCGGATAGGCTTGAGTTCGGTACACGTAACCTGGTTCGGTGCTATAACTAAAATAAAATATAGGAATGCACCTAACCTAGGAAATCAAACATATCTATGCATGATGAAATAAACCCAAGCTAGATATAGCGTAATAAAGTCTAGGCAAGCTAGCAAAGCCAGCATAAGCCGTCGTACTCTTACAGTTGCCCTTCTATCAACGCTTCGGGCCGACCAGCTGCACGATCCCATCGTCGTTGAAAATTTTCAGTAAACCTCGCCAAATACTCTTCCACTCTCCCTTGTGCCTCTTCACCGTCCGCACCTGACCAATCGTGGTTTCAACGCCAGAGTGGCGGCAACATGCGTTCCCCTGGTACAGACAGGGGTTGAGGTTCATTCATTCAAACTCTAAAACACCAGGGGCATTGAAATACTCCACTCACCAGCTTTTTTCGCTACCATCATGAGAGCATCTTTTGCCCCTGACCCAGCGTACATAAGGAAGTACACCAAGTCGGACACTGTCGCGGTTCGACCCTCACCCATCAGCGAGCTCAAACCACACCGCAAGTAGTAAATTGGAATTCGCATCGTCTTTGATATCGCGAGGCTTGCCTGGTCCTTGCCCTTTACAATCTCTTTTACCCTTGATCTCCATGTTGCGGAGGAGATCTTTCTCGGACGACCCATTCTGCACACCATGCACCCAAATTGATTGTTAGCAACATATGCATTTGAAGTATCAAATGGGGCGAGCCCACCGCATGGGAGAGGGCTGGCCAGCCCCTTTGATTGCGGTGGGCCCGCCCATGGGATGAGGCGAACACACCGCATGGGAGAGGGCTGGCTAGCGATGGCATGATGACGGGAGAGGGTGGGCTTGCAGGGGGAAACCGTTTGCATGATGAGGGGCGAGGGAGGCCAAGCAGGGGGTATACTGATGGGAATGATGACGGGGAAGGGAGGGCTAGTAGGGGATATCTTATGGCATGATAAGGGGGAAGGGAGGTCAGGGAAGGGAGGGCTAGCAGGGGGGTACCTTATGGCAAGATAAGGGGGAAGGGAGGGCAGGGTAGGGAGGGATGCAAGGGCAGTGGGGTAAAGGCAGGGCAGGTTTGGAGTTGGACTGAAGGAGGAGCGCAGCAGGTAGTGAATGGTGGCGGGGGAATGGCAGGGCAGAAGGGGTAGGGCAGGGGTGAAACGGCAAGGCAGGGTAGGGAGGATTACCGCTGTCTCACCTCGTGCAAAATCGTTGGTTTTGTCCTCTTTGCCTTGGTGGACGTGGCGCCTTGTGTGAGGGAGTTGTGCCTTTGGAAGATATGTGCAAGCTAGCCTGCACCTAAATACGGGGCAAATAGGGGCAAAACGCAAGGATAGCAGGGGTTAAACATGGGGCTAGCACGCGGGAAACATGGGGCTAGCAGTAGGGGGGAAACATAGCACGGGGTTAACATTGGGTCAGTAGTAGGGGGGTAACATGGGGCTAGCAGTAGGGGGGAAACATAGCACGGGGTTAACATTGGGTTAGTAGTAGGGGGGTAACATGGGGCTAGCACAGGGATAACATGGGGCCAACGATGGCGGAAACATGGGGCCAGCAGTAGGGGGGAAACATAGCCCGAGGGAAGCATGGGGCCCACAGTTGGCAGGAAACATTGGGGCCAGCAGTAGGGGGGAAACATAGCATGGGGGAAACATGCAGCTAGCATGGGTGAAATATGGGCCAGCGATAGTGGGGTAACATGGGGCTAGCATGGGGAACACATGGGACTAGCATGGGGATAAAAAAGGGGTTGCCGTGGGAGGAAATAGGGGGCTACCATGGGAGGAAATAGGGGGCTACCATGGGAGGAAACAGCCCTCCTGTGAGGGCTGTGAGGTTCCTTTGTTGCTAAGTGCTCCACACGGTGCTCAGTGCTTTCATGCACTGACCAACCTGGGAAGGCTGAGGGGAGGGAGGGAAGCAAGGATGTGACAAGGGAAGGCGAGTAAGAGTGTGAGGGCTATGAGGTTCCATTGTTGCTGAGCGCTCCACACGCTGCTGGGAGCAGTGATGCACTGACCACCCAGCCTTCTAAACATGGGGCTAGCACCTTGTATAAGCATGTGCCTAGCATGGGGGGACACAAGGGGCTGGCAGCGAGGAAGCAACCGACTATCACGAGGAGAATATGGGGCTAACATGGGGAAGAAATGGGTCTGGCATGGGGGAAACGTGGGGCCTGCAGGGGGATAACATGGGGCTAGACTGGGGCAAACATGGGGCCCGCAGTAGGGGGGAAACATGGGGCTAGCATGGGGGGGAAAATGGGGCAACCTTTAGGGGAAGTATGGGGCTTGCGATTTGTAGTTTCGGGCTTGCAGAGGGAAAACATGGGGCTAGTAACATGGGGCTAGAAGGGGAGGTAAGATGAGTCTAACATTGGGAAAATATTGGGCTAGCATGGGGGGAATAGGGGGCTATCAGGGGGGAATATGAACATGAGCGCAGGGGGAAAACGTGGGGCCTGCAGCGAGAAACATGGGGCCTGCAGGGGGAATCATGGGGATAGCGTGGGGGAATCATGGGGATAGCATAGGGGAATCATGGGGATAGCTTGGGAGAATCATGGGGATAGCATGGGGGAAGCATGGGAGTAAAGCTTGGGGGTAAACATGACGCTAGCACGGGGGGAAAAATGGGGAGAGCATGTAGGCATGGAAGTGAGGAGTGCGGCGAGCATTCGGGAAGGCACCCAAGGGCATGCACGGCAAGGCACCACCACCAGTGCAGCAACCAATGCACCCACCAGGCAGGGTTGGCAGCAAGGGGCAGACCAGCGACGAGAGCAGCCAGAATGGCGAGACATATGGCCGACTGGTCAAGAGACCCCAGGCGATTGAGCGGCCCCAGTTGGCAAGCCAGCCGGCTGAGAGCGTTCCACACGCTAAGATGAGCAGCGATGCACTGACCACCCTGCCTTGGAAGGGAAGGGGAGGGAGGGAAAAGAGGGAGTGACAAGCGAAGGTGAGTAAGACTGTGCGGGCTGAGAGGTTCCTTTACTGGTGAGCACTTCACATGCTGCTGTGAGCAGTGATGCACTCACCACCCAGCCTTGGTAGGGGAGGGGAGGGAGGGAAAAGAGGGAGTGACAAGCGAAGGTGAGTAAGACTGTGCGGGCTGACAGGTTCCTTTGCTGGTGAGCACTTCACATGCTGCTGTGAGCAGCGATACATTGACCATCCTGCCTTGGAAGGGAAGGGGAGGGAGGGAAAAGAGGATGTGACAAGCGAAGGTGAGCAAGACTGTGCGGGCTGAGAGGTTCCTTAGGTGGTGAGCACTTTACATGCTGCTGTGAGCAGCGATGTACAGACCACCCTGCCTTGGAAGGGAAGGGGAGGGAGGGAAAAGAGGGAGTGACAATCGAAGGTGAGTAAGACTGTGCGGGCTGACAGGTTCCTTTGCTGGTGAGCACTTCACATGCTGCTGTGAGCAGCGATGCACTCACCACCCAGCCTTGGTAGGGGAGGGAGGGAGGGAAAAGAGGGAGTGACAAGCGAAGGTGAATAAGACTGTGCGGGCTGAGAGGTTCCTTTGCTGGTGAGCACATCACATGCTGCTGTGAGCAGCGATGCACTCACCACCCAGCCTTGGTAGGGGAGGGGATGGAGGGAAAAGAGGGAGTGACAAGCGAAGGTGAATAAGACTGTGCAAGCTGAGAGGTTCCTTTGCTGGTGAGCACTTCACATGCTGCTGTGAGCAGCGATGCACTCACCACCCAGCCTTGGTAGGGGAGGGGAGGGAGGGAAAAGAGGGAGTGACAAGCGAAGGTGAATAGCTCGGGGAGCATGGGGATAGCTCGGGGAAATCATGGGGATAGCTTGGGGGAATGATGGGGATAGCTTGGGGGAAAACTGGGGATAGCTGGGGGGAAACTGGGGATAGCTTGGGGGAAATCTGGGGATAGCTTGGGGGAAAACTGGGGATAGCTTGGGGGAAAACATGGGGCCAGCAGTAGGGGGGAAACATGGGGCTAGAATGAGGGGAAACTTGAGGCATGGTGGGGGAAACAGGGCTAGCATGGAGGGAAATATGGGGCTATCAGGGGGGGAATATGTGTCTAGCAGGGGGGAATCATGGGTTTGCAGGGGAGAAACATGGAGCTAGCATGGGGGAAATAAGGGGCTATGAGGCAAGAAGCACGAGGGAGTGAGTTTGAGGCAGGAACGTGGAAGGGGGGATGGGGAAGGGGGAACGCGGAAGGGGGAACGCGGAAGGGGGAATGGGGAAGGGGGAACCTGGAAGGGGGAACGCGGAAGGGGGAACGCGGAAGGGGGGACGCGGAAGAGGGAACGCGGAAGGGGGAACGCGGAAGGGGGAACGGGGAACGGAGGGGAACGCGGAAGGGGGAACGCGGAAGGGGGAACGCGGAAGGGGGAACGCGGAAGGGGGAACGCGGAAGGGGGAACGCAGATGGTGGATTACGGAAGGGGGATTGATGAAGATGGAATGCGGAAGGGGAAATGAGGAAAGGGGAATGTGGAAGGGAGAATGCGGAAGGGGGGATGCGGAAGGTGGGATGGCGGAAGGGGGGATGCTGAAGGGGGAATGCGGAAGGGGGGATGGGGAAAGGGAAATGCGAAAGGGGGAATGCGGAACGGGAATGCGCAAGGGGGGATGCGCAATGGGAGATTCGGAGGGGGGAATGCGGAAGGGGGAATGAGGACTGTGGAATGCGGAAGGGGGGAAATGCGGATTGGGGAATGCGGAAGGGGGGATGAGGAGGGTGGAATGCGGAAGGGGAAATGAGGAAGGGGGAATGCGCAAGGGGGTATGCGGAAGGGGGAATGCGGAAGGGGGAATGCGGAAGGGGGAATGCTGAAGGGGGAATGCGGAAGGGGGGATGCGGAAGGGGAAATGCGGAAGGGGGAATACGGAAGGGGGAATGCAGAAGGGGGGATGGGGAAAGGGGGATGGGGAAAGGGGGATGCGGAAGGGGGAATGCGGAAGGGGGAATGCGGAAGGGGGAATGCGGAAGGGGGATCTCTCAAGGGGGAATACGGAAGGGCGAATTCGGAAGGGGCCATGCGTCTGTGGGCGGATGTGGGCGGCGGAAGGCTCTAGCGCTGGCGGCTGCTAGCGTTACTGGCAGCTGCGGTATAGGCTGGCTTGCGGGACGCGCGGTTTCGGATGGCGAATCGCTGGCGCGCGGGCCTCTGGCGGACCGCGTGCTGTTTGCTGGCGCGCGAGCGTCAACCGCGCGCGCAATGCAAACGCGCCCCGCTGTATGAATCCCGTTCGATGTGTTGTGGGGCGCATAATAATGACGCTAGCTGTGCTGGCGCACGCGGAATGCCAGCATGTGCGGAGCGGCACTCTCGCGAAACGTGGGCAAAGTTGGCGCATTTGACGAGAATGGAATGCCGGCATAGCTGGCGCAAGTGACGCGAGCAGAATGCATTTACTAGCGGGCGCTAGTTCCGCTTGCAAATTGCTTGCATAGCTGGCGCAATTCATGCCGATTAGAGCCAGTGAAGCGGCGGCATTCACTGTAGAGAACATGGCTAATCACTCACCCTAGCCTAAGGACGTTGTCGCGCTGCTGGTCCAAGAGCGTATTCCTATCCTCATATCAGGATTGTACCTTTTGCCTGGTAAAACTAGCGAGAGGTTTTGGGTTTAGGGGAATTTTCAGTGGGAGGTTGATATGAGGTTCTCTTGATACGAGGATAGGAATGTTGGAAACAATCAAGCTTAAGTGCCTCTGTCGTGTCGAAACACCAAGGCACAAGCGAAGCGAAGCATATCGAGGCACCAGCGAGTCAACCCTCGGAGGTTGAAGTAACTGCTGGAGGTTACGCGAAAGTCAAAGGTGAGCGACCTTTGACCTGACAAGTACAGCGCGACAGCAAGGACACACAACTGACTCGCTACAGAGCAGTTGCCCGAGTCGTCACTGTATCGAACCGCAACAGCAACAGTAAAGTAGTTACAACTGTATCTCTTCATATTCCTTGTACTCTTATATAACCCTGTATCTCTTTGCTTTAATCAACTTACTTTGCCCTCACATACTAGCGCAAGGTGGTTCACAACTCTTCATTAAACGCTTCCGCTACTACATCAGTTCTACTCAGAGTTCACCCCTGCAAAGATCCTAAGGGCTTTTTCTCAGCCCAACAAGGAATACGCTCTAACAGTCTCCGCTCACCGCCATGGCTACTTCAACACGTTCCAGTGACTATTAGATGCTTATTCTATGCAGTGTGTTTGGTGGAAGGTGTTGTCGGGAGAGTTTGACAATGTGTGACTCTCAACCTTCCAAACCCTGGCTCTCTCACAACTGAAGCGCGTCAGTTTTTCGCCAACACTCGCAATTCTGTTTTTCTCTTCGTCGAGGCAAAATTGCCTTGACTACTGTACAGATGCAACAGTGCTGCCAAATGTATACCGCTGCTTTAAACAAATTGGCAACGGATACGGCCCGTATGTAAACCATTGAAGTTGTGGAGTCTTGAAAGGGAGGGGTAATGCCAGAGTCTTTCAAGATTTGGTTTAGGTTAGGTGGTCATCTCGAAGCCTGTGGTATGTGGACCGGGGTATCCAGGAACAAAAGCCAGCAGTTGGAATCCGTTGAGCTAGCACACGACTGGGGGAGTGGATAATGAGCTCCCACTCAGGGCTACTTGTCCGTTTGAAGGAGCTCCATTAATGTCAAGGTGATTGTGTGTACGTACACATTTCGACTACCTGGGCATATTACATTACGGAACTGCTAAACGCAGCAGGTCAGTCCACCAATCACGGGGCACCCTGTTTTGCAGTGATGTACGTGCTGTAGTGACGAGCACTGCTTATGCATGGAAGCATCGTTTCTTGAATAATAAACAAACTGCATCTACAGTATTGCAACTTCCAGTTCATATTTCACCCTACTCATATAATTACGACTACAGCTCAGTGCCACAGCCTATGCGATTACTAGTTAGCCTAACTTGTTCAGGTTAACTTTAGCACAAGCCCAAGCACCCTAGCTCCGATAAATCGTGGCTTGTCCTATCCTTGCAGGAACCGAGTTCTTATCTAGACGGCTACACCCAAAGATATCGAGCCACTTGAGCCCCGTAAGGTGCATGATTGACCCAGGCAGGGCCAGCAACCCCTCACAATCCCTCATATCCAACTCCCTTAGCCTCGGCAAATAACCAATATCGCCTGGAAGGCTTTTCAGCTGGATGCAGCCCTTGAGGTAAAGCCCTTCCAAATAAGTGAGGAGAGGGAGGGGAGGAGGGAGGTGAGGGAGATGCACTCTTGGAGGTTGAGGGAGCGGAGGTGGGCGAGGGAGGAGAGGCGTGGCGGGAGGGCGGAGAGGGAGGAGCAGAAGGCGAGGTGGAGGCGGTTGAGGGAGGAGAGAGAGAGGAGAGGGAGGCAGGGAGGGAGGAAAGGGAGAGGCAGGAGTCGAGCTGCAGGTCTCTCAGGTTGGTGAGGTGGAGGAAGAAAGTACCGTTAAGGGCAGTGGGAGAAGGGGTTTTGAAGGAGGAGGAGGAGCAAGAGGAGGAGGAGGAGGAGGAGGAGGAGGAGGAGGAGGAGGAGGAGGAGGAGGAGGAGGAGGGGCAACCACAGCAGCAAGAGGAATCAGTACCAGCAGCAACTGCACCACATGGGAGGTCAGGCAAGGAGGCAAGCTTGATGCACCCAGTAAGGCAGAGGCGGGTGAGGCGGGAGAGGGAGGCAAGGGAGGGCGGCAGCGGAGAGGGAATCAAAGCCGCTCACCTCCAACTCCCTCAGCTTAGACATGAGCAACGAGTCGAGTAATTTAGTCGACTCGTTTTCGTTACTCGTTTTGGGCGAGTAACGAGTCGGCTGTTTCCGAGAAATTACTAGGTTTTCTCGAGTCGAGTATTACTCGTTTTTAATTGAGTACTCGCAGTTTACTCGTTTTCGAAAGCGAGTAACGAGTAATATCATTACTCGCGAGTAATCGAGTACTCGCGAGTAAACGAGTACTCGCGAGCACCGGATTACTCGATTTCGAAACGAGTAAATTGCGAGCCCAGACACAAGCGGCCTCCCTGGGGGGCTAGAAGTTGGTCGAGAATTGTGTTCTCAGATATTTTCTAACTCGATCGGCCTGCCTACTAATGCTTGTTTAGGGTAAAATGGTGAGGGTACGGAAAACGCAGTGAGCTGGCTGGATTTCCACGTGGCAACTCAGATATCGAAATTCGCGAATTCCTCGTTCCACAACCCAATCCCGGTGAAATTCTGCACTTTTCAACCCAAGTAACAAAATTTACGAAATCGTGACCCCGCAAACCAGCCTACACGATTTCGAACTTCTACCAACCCAGATCTGCGGAACCCCGCTCCTACCAAACCAAATTTGCTACCTATCCATATCCACCCCACCCAGCCTAACTTACGCCAAGCAAATCTCCTAGCCCGTGCGAAAGTTCGCTCAATAGGCGGATGGTCGCCAGCTAAACACTACTTTAAGAGTTATCTGGCAGGATGCTTCAGCAAGGAGAGTCTTACTTGCCTCGCCACCAAAAAAAAATATAGAACACAAATCGATTCAAGTATTAATTGATCCAAAACGAGTACTTAATTACTCGGTCCGAGTAATGAAATACTCGTTATTTCTCACGAGTAACGAGTCGGGTCTAGGGGTAAAATTACTCGGTCGAGTAATACTCGACTCGACTCGTTTTCAAAACGAGTAGGCTGAAAACGGGTCGAGTAATACTCGTTTTGGCATTTGCTCATGCCTACCTCAGCTGCGCCAGCTGGCCCATGCCGGGGGGGAGAGCGAGGGGCGGCGAGGGGAGGAAGGAGGAGAAGGGCTCGGGGGCAGAGGAGGGGCAATCGGTTGGACTGGATGGGACAAGGGAAGGTAGGGAATCGTGTGTAAGAGGTGTGTGTGAGTGAGGATTCGGGTGCAGGTGGTGGTTGTGCTTCTGAGGGTGTGACTGTGCTACGATGAACCCGTTGCTGCCTCCATTTCAGCTGCTGCTTGTGCTCGTGCTTATGCAGTTACCACCATGGTTACTGCTGTCGCCGCTGCTGATGTTGCTGCTGCTATCTGCCATAGTGCCACCTTTGGTATTATTGCGGGCTGGGATGCTCTGAGGTTTACCTGCAGCCCCTCTTTCACCCCCGCCACCCCCACCACCACCAGCAGCGGCTTTGCTAGCAGCAGCAGCAGCAGCAGCAGCAGAGCCCTTGGAGCTGCCGCCCTTGCTTAGTGTGTCTGCAACCATGGCAGCACCATCTATACTGCCACTAACTCGAGTGCTACACCTATCAGCAGCACCTTCCATGGTTGTAACACACCCGCTGCTGGTGCTGCCGCCGCCATCCATGCTACCATTAATGTCCCCCATCGCCATCCCCATCCCCTCCCCCACCTCACCCATTACAATCAGCCTATCCAGCCGCCCCAAGCACACCAGCGACGACGGCAGCAGCACCGTTCTGCACCCATCCGGCCTCAACTCCCGCAGCCCCTGCATATGAGCCACGTTCCCCGGCGCCCACTGTAACGCGGTGCATCTGGTTACCACCAGCCGCTCTAGCTCAGCCAGGGCAGTCAGGGAAGCGGGGAGGGCGCGCAAGGACGCGCAGCCTAAAAGAATGAGCGCGCAGAGGCGGGGGGAGGTGAATGGTGGGAGGGGGGAGGAAAGGACAGGAGGAGATTTGGTCATGAGAGTGAGATGATTGAGTCTGTCAGTGAGAGTGGTTGGGAGCGGTGCTGAACCGGCTGCTGCTGTTGCTGCATCCAACCCAACTATCTGACCCTGCTCTTACCTCTGCTGCCCCTGCTGTCCTTGCTTCCCGTGCTGCTGCCACCCCTTCTGCCCCTGCTGCTGCCCCTGCTGCTGCCCCTACTGTCCTTGCTTCCCCTGCTGCTGCCCCCCCTTCTGCCCTTGCTGCTGCCCCTACTGCTGTCTCTGCTGCTGCCCCCCCTTCTGCTCCTGCTGCAGCCCCTGTTGCTGCTTTTCCTCCACCTTCTTAGCTACACTTCCTTCCCCTCCAGACGTACCTACGCCCTCCCCGACCGGCAGGCGCAGAGCCACCAGCTCGCAGCACTCCTCCACCACCAGCCTCTCTAATCGCATCATCGCGCGCATCGCTACAGGCGGACTTGTTAACCCCTTACAGTGACGCAGCTGCAACTCTTTCAAACGGGTCAGCGCGCCTACAGATTCGAGCAGGCTCGGCGAGCAGGATAGTCCCAGAACGTGTTTTCCAGCTGCCCGAGGCTCGTTACTGGTTCGGGCAGGCCTAAAAGGTTATCAATATCTTCTAATTGGAGCTCCCGCAGACAGGTCAGTGTCAGAATATTATCTTATGTTCTAGCCTGTAGTGGGTTGCTCTATAGCGAGTACAACCTTTCTAGGGTTTTGCTATTTGTATCCTCATTCCTGCTAGTTCAATCCTCTTTCTTTCTTCAAACTTTAACAGTCAGCTGGTCTAGGGTTTGGGCAGAGAGGAGAGATTAGAGAGCAAGGCGAGGCGCAAGGTTTTAAGAACGGATAGACAGCCGAGATCGTCGGGTAAAGACTCTATATGCGTGCAGTCGGAAACTTCCAGGAACTCGAGCTGGGCTAGGTCTGGCAGGGAGGGCGCGAGGCCGACGAGGCGATGGCACTTGCTGATTTCCAATTCGCGCAAAAGTGGTAATTGCCCGATGTCTTCGGGCAGCAGCGTAAGGTTACCGCATCGGCTTATAACGAGTCGCTCCAGGGAGTGTAGCTGCGGCAGCGAGCAAGGCAGTTCCAGCAATCCCCCTCAGCCGTCGAGCTCCAATACGCGCAGGCACGGCAGCTGCCCGAGATCGTCGGGCAGCGACGTGAGCCAGTAGCAGGAGCTTATAACGAGGACGTCGAGCAGCTGCATGTCGCATAACGAATCCGGCAGCTGCTCGAGATTGTCGGATTTCTCAACGCGCAGATGCGTGAGACCCGCGAGGTTGCCGAGCGAGTCCGGCAGGCACGGCAGCGCGTTGCACGACAGCAGCCGCAAATCGCGGAGCGTACTTAATCTCCCCCGGGAGACTTCCGGAAAGAGCTTTAAACTCGGCGCTTCGAGCTGCAGCCGGGGCAGCGCGGAAAGATCGAGGAGCGACGCGGGGAGTGCTTTGATGTTCGGCGCGCAGTGCACGCTCACGTGCTCGAGCCGCTGGTAGCCGCGAAACACGCTCGCGAGACCCGCCTCGCTCACCGCGTCGACGAGCGGCGGCCGAACCGGCAGCCGAACCTTGCCCAGGAAGAGGTACGTCATGTTCGGGCATGCCGAGCCTAGGACGCGCAGGAAACGATCATCGATGAAGTCAATCGTGTGGCTGTCAAGGTGCAGGCGAGTCAGGTTCGGAAACTTGCGCAGCGCTTGCTCGAGCCGGCGGGAGAGGAGCTCGCGCTTGGGGGAAAAGGAGGCAGCGGAGGAGGCGGCGGAAGAGGCGGAGAGGACTGTGAGGGAGGCGACGCGGGACCAGCGCTTGCAGACCAGAGCCACTTGGTACGGCGGGCGAGAATCGCCGGTGCTTATATCGGATGTGCTTGTATCGGATGCGGTGGGATTGGCGGCGAGGACTAGGCGGAGGATGGAGGTGAGAAGGTCGTCGGATAGCGAATGGATTGGAGAGGCGGAATCGTCGTCGGGAGACTCGGCGACGGCGCACGATGAGCGAGAATCCATTGCCTGACCGATTCGCCGTCGCTTGGATAACTGCGGCATCGCCCAGCTGATTCAGTCGTCGCTCGACTATTTTGGGCGTTGCTCGGCCGGCCATCTCGTGGCTACCTGAGCGAGCCTGGGCAAGGCGAGAGGCGAGAGCTGGGAAGCGAGCCAATGCTTGCCTTCACATACGACTTACTTAGTGTCGCGTGCATGTGGAAATAATAGGCTATAGTAGTCTATCTGTCTGATGAGGCCTTTGAGAAAGTGTGAACGAGAATGAGTGAACTATGAAACAGTTGGGTACAAGTACTAACCCTAATTGGGTTGTACCCCATATGGGCTACCCCAATACAGCCTACACAAAAGCATAAGCTATGATGTTCTGACACACCCCCATAGGCAAAGTGGGGGAGAACAAGCGGTCACAAGACCAGTCAAGCAAAGCAAAGCAAAGCAAGCTCAGGGTGGATCACAAAGTCACCACACATTCCGAGCACAAGTTCAAGGCTGCAAGGCCAGTTCACATGCATGAGTACATATATATAGAAAGCTAGATAAGCAAGCGCAGGTGTATATATATGTAACAGTACAAGCAAGGTCAAGAGGTGAGCAAGTGAGGCAAGACAGGCACAAGACCAAGCTGAGTACAGAAGCGCTGATGATCACAAGGCGCAAGTGCCTTGGTGAAAACATCAGCAGTGTTGGCCTCAGAGGCCACGTACGCAAGTCGCAACTGACCACGCTGCTGCAACTCACGAGCAAGAAAGTAGCAGAGAGCAATGTGCTTCGTTCTATGCTCCAGGCGCTGCTCTCGACACAAGGCTAGCATGGCCTTGTTGTCTACGTACAGCACCGGAGGAGAACGAGGCGGCTCTCCGAGGTCAATCAGCAGGTAGGTAAGCCAGCGAAGCTCCTGTGCAGCCATGGCCCCGGCGTAGATCTCAGCCTCACAACTGGAGCCGAGAACAGAAGACGAGCGAGTAGCCCGCCACGAAACAGAACCGGAACCAAGGCTGAAGGTGTAACCCTGTGACGACCGCTGCGTAGCCTGGTCGTCTGCCCAAGAAGCGTCCGCGTACCCAGTGAGGACCACTGGACTCCGCCCTCCAAGCACTAGCCCCATGCCCGACGTACTGCACAAGTAGCGCAACACCCTCTTCGCTGCAGCCATGTGCTCTGGTCTGTGTCTCCCAGGAGCAACATAGCGTGCAAGAATGCTAAGAGGGTATGCAAGGTCAGGTCGTGTGCAGGTCATCAGGTACATGAGGCAGCCAACAAGCTTTGGGTACGGGCCACTCGACTCTACGGACTCATCCGAAGGCAGAGCTGAGAGCGAGTGGCGAGTAAACAGAGGAGTGGCCTGAGGCGAGGAGTATGTGAAGCCAAAGCGCTGAAGGACCTGCTGCACCATGTATGACTGAGTCAGGGTAATGGTGCGGCGTGCTCTGTCCCGGGTGATCTGCAAGCCAAGGTAGCTGCGCAGTTCACCCAGGTCTGTGCACGTGTGTCTCTTCTGCAGCTCGGACTTCACGTGGGCGAGTCCAGCAGTGTCAGCTGTGGCTAACACCAAGTCGTCGACGTACACGAGGATGAAGAACGGCGGCAGAGAGGTGTCGGTGCGTAGAAACAGCGACGGGTCAGCAGTAGAGGGAGCAAAACCAAGAGCCGCAAGTGTAGTCCTCAGTAAGTCGTGCCACTCGCGCGGTGCCTGGCAGAGATTGTAGACTGGCCGTCGGAGGCTCCACTAGGTGCCAGGAGGGAAAGTCCCAGTGAAGCCAGGGGGACGGCGCAACCAGATCTCCTCGTGAAGGCTACCCTGCAGGAAAGCAGTGCTGAAGTCAAGGGAGTGAAGCTCGTAGTCAAGCTGAGCGGCTACGTGTAGTTGCACCCGAAGAGTGGTCATCTTCGGGGTGGGAGAGAAGGTCTGAAAGTAGTCAACTCCCAGCCGCTGACTGAAGCCACGAGCCACGTACCGCGCCTTGAAGAGAGGTGGAGAGCCCGGCGGCCGCTTCACCCTGAAGATCCACATGCCACTGACGATGTTCGCCCCTGGAGGGGGAACCGCGTCAACGTAGGTGCCTGTGGACTTCCAGGAAGCCATCTCTGCATCCATAGCTGCCTGCCACTGAGAGGAGTAGAGACCCTCTACGGCCTCCGCGTAAGAGCGCGGAGTCGGGATGTCTAGTGCATCCGGGTCTCCCTCAGGAGCAAGCAGTACAGACGCGAGATGAGGTGAAGCAGCAGCCAGACACTGGAACTCCTCCTGCCTGTCCTCAAGGACGTCCGTGCCAAGAGCACACTCACCCCCGACAGACGGAGGACAGACAGACGCAGACTCAGCAACAAGACTAGTAGCGTAGTCTAGACGACAGTGAGCAGCAAAGTCGACGAGCTCAGCAACAAGAGCAGACGCAGCAGTGGACTCAAAGGAGGGGTCTGTGACGACAGTAGCAAGGAGACGCGTGACAGTAGGACTGGCAGCACGAAGAGAGTCCGACTCAGGGTCGGCAAGCACAGGAAGAGAGGACTCAGGAGGAGAGGGCAAAGGGGCACGCAGAGGAGCAGTGGACGGACGCAGAGACATCCGGTGCGTGCCAGGGACAGGAGGAGGACGCTGACGCGAACTGCGACCACTAGTGCGAGCAGCACGAACAGGCGACGCAGGACGAGACGCAGGCTCACGACGCTCAGCAAGACCTCCAGTAGGACCAGTGTACGGAGAAGGAGAAGGTTGTGGGGAGACCGGTGGTAACTGTGACTGCGACTGGACAGGCGGTGGACACTCTAAGGGAGGAGGAAGACCAAGAACCTGCTGAAGGAGCGGAACAAAGTACGGCCGAGGCCGCGCGGCGACTCCAGACACAGCAGGGACAGCACCAGCACCCCCAGCGGCAGCACCAGCGTCAACAGCACCTCCAGCTCTAGTACCTCCAGCAGCACCAGTAACACCCACAGGAGGACCGTCGCCAGGACTGACAGCAGTAGCCTCAGCGCCAACACCCTCAGCAGCTCCGACTCCAGTAGTACTCGCACGACTGGCACCTCCGAGACCGGCGACACCAGCACCCTCAGCAGCCGAAGAAGCACCAGCTCCAGTAGGACGCCTCCAGCGCCGGGCAAACCACTCGCGCAGCTCCTGTGGAGAGAGTGGCTCCCGCCGAGACGAAGCAACCGGAGAGCCAGCAGGCCCAGCACCGCCAGACGCCACCCTAGCAGGTCCAGCGGCCGCGGGCTCCGCACCCCCAGGCTCAGTAGCTCCAGACTCAGCACCCTCAGGCTCAGCAGCTCCAGATGCAGCACCCCCAGGCGAAGGATCCCCAGGCTCAGCACCCCCAGTCGTAGCACCCCCAGGCTCAGCACCCCAAGTCGTAGCACCCCCAGGCTCGGCACCCCCAGTCTCAGCACCCCCAATCACACCATCCCCAGACGCAGCACCCCCAGGCTCAGCACCCACGCGCGCAGCACCCCCAGAGTCAGCACCCCCAGGCTCAGCACCCGCAGCAGTACCAGAGTCACCAGCAACCTCGACCGGCTCAACTGCATCTACCTGGGACACACCTGAAGGGGCAGGACCCTGAGGGGGGAGGGGGTCTATCAGGGGGGGACCTGGCACAAGGAAGTGCGGTGGCGGGGGGAGGGAAGGAGTGCGGTAGGGGAAGAGGCGGTAGTAGGGTACTGACTCGTCCAACGTGACGTCCTGGGAGGACAGAACACGACGAGAGGTGGGGTGGTAGAACTGCCACCCAGGGGCGTCAGGGGGGAAGCCAAGGAAGACACCGGGAGCAGCACGAGGGGACAGCTTGTCCGCAGACAAGTCGCGGACAAACGCCCGAGATCCCCAGACACGGAACGTAGACGCATCGCCGACCTTCCCCGTCCACAGCAAGGCTGGGGAGGTCTCCGGTCTGGAGACCCTGGGGTGAAGGTTGATCTGATGCGCCGCGTACCGAACCGCAAACGGCCACAGAAAATGGGGGGCAGCCGCATGCATCATGGACGTACGAGCGACGTCCATGACCATGCCAATGCGGCGCTCAGCAATCCCATTTTGCTGTGGAGAGTCCGGAAGCGTAAAGGTCTGGCGGATGCCTCGCGCACGACAGTAGGCTCGCAGAAGGCCAGAGGAGAACTCTCCGCCTCGGTCAGAGTGCAGACGCAGAACAGGAAAGTCTGAGCCGAAGCTCCTCCTAAGCTGGAGACGAGCTGCGCGGATCCAGTCGATCAACACCTCAGCGACATCACCCTTGCTGCGCAAGGGGAAGACTGTGGTGTAACGCGAGTAGTCGTCAACCACCAGCAGGAAGTAGCGCTTGTGACCCTGTCCACGGACGCGGGCAGGGCCCCACACGTCCATGTGAAGCGTCTGCAGCGGGGCCTCTGTCAGGGGAAACTGAGAGGAGTGAGGGGCAGCGCGGAGCCGCCCCTCGACACAGGGAACACAGGAAGGACCAGGCCCCGGAGGAAGGGGAGGGAGGGACCGGGGAAGACTAGAGACAAGGACACGGGAAGCCATGCCTCGGAGACGAGGCAGGGAGGGGTGACCAAGGCGGTGGTGCCAGAGGAGAGTCTCGTGAGACAGGAGGCGACACGAGCAGGGGGCAGACTCAGGACCAGACCTGGACGCTGCAGCAAACACCTGACCCGACGCAGCTACCTGGCTAGACGCAGGGACAGGAGGAGACCCAGTGGTCAGGGTGTAGAGGCTCGACCCCGGCCGACGCGTAAACGTGGCCAGGTGCCGGCCTGTGCAAGCGTCCGAGCAGTGGGTCACCCGCTGACTCGCAGGAGTAAACTGGTGAACCCCCGTATCCTGCAGGTCAGCACCACTCACCAAGTTCGTAGAGAACGAGGGGAGGTAAAGACCAGACAAGGTGCCAGAGGGGGCAGCCGGACACGGGAGGACAGTGGAGAAGTGAGAGAGGACAGGACCCCCAGAGGGGTCTGCCAGGGAGACTGCAACTGGCCGACCAAGCGGCGTGAGTGTGGTGCGGTCTCGAAAGAAGGAGCGAGAAGCCCCTGAGTCAAGTGTGAAGGTGAGGGAGGCCGAAGCCGACGTGGTACCTGAGAGCGCAGACTCACCAGCACCTGAGGGCGCGGACGCACTGGCACCTAGAGCAGCAGCCTCACCAGTACCTAGAGCAGCAGTACCAATGCCCAGGTTGGGCGGGAAACACTGGTAACAGTCACCCTCATCACTAATAGTCACAGCATA